TGGCACTCCCATGGTAAAGCTCCAGCAGCCTGTCCTATTACTGAAATCAGGAATAACTAGAAGGACCCAAGAAGAATGACAGCTCCTTGGGGACAGGACTCATGCTGTTTTTTCATGATGCTTCACTGAATCTAGATGAATTCTGTGTACAAAAGGGATCCCACACACACCCTGAATGGTACTTATGTTAGATTCCCCAGCCGCTCTTCAGCTAGATGAGGTCCTATGACGAAATATGGCCACAAGGAGAAGTTATACGATGGGACTTTTAGGAAAATTCCTTGTAAAAGGCAGATGTGATAGCTAATGTGTATCCTTTTGCCCTTCTCCCATTCCTCCTTTCACTGCCAGAGTACACATGGTTGCTATTGCCCCAAGAGCTGTCTTTGACTTAAGGTGATGCATTAGGAATGTAGGAAGAATTACGATCTAAGACAGCATAAACATGGGTCTCTGATAAGAGTGGAGCCTTCAGGCCCCCTACACTACCTATGTGGGTGCTTCACACATTTGGAGGTTGCTTTGTTACGTACATCCTAATGGATACAAAGGCAATAATAACTGTGGAAGCAGCCTTCTGTCAAGACAATATGGCAGCAGAAGAGACAGACCTTTCAAGGTAGAGTCCAACAGCGCAGACAACCTCTTAGGCTTACTCAGCCTCTACACTGAGCCCTGAGGGTAACAATGATGATAAGGTAGCACATATCAATAACTGAGCTAGAGATGCACTCTTGAACTGTCTTAAGCTGTGACTCTAGACCAGTGATGGTGAACCTCTTAGAGCTTTCAAAGATACAAACAGCCCACTGCAGCACACATGCCATGGGTTCACCACCACTGCCCAGACCATCTACCTTGACCCAATATCCAGCAACCTTGATAATGGAGAACGCTGGCTACAAAAGCTACATCCACAAAGACCAAGATCAGCCAGGGCTATTTAAAGGTATAAGGAAATATTTTAATTTTCAAGTGTTAATACAAGTGTACTTATACATCAATTTTTAAATTTTCTTATCCTTTGGAGACAGACTGAGATATTTATAAATGGAATGATGGCTAGGATTCTCTTCAAAAATACTTTGACAGACAAAATGGATGAGGAACTGATTATTGTGAATACCAAGAGCACAGAGAGTCATTCTATTATTTTCTCTACTTTTTTAATTGAAAATTATTCATTTAAATCCAAGAAGGACCGGGGATTTAGTACAGTGGTTCGCCACCTGCCTCACAAGCACAAGGACCCAAGTTTGATCCCTGGTATCAAATAATGATAATAATAATAATAATAATAATAATAATAATAATAATAATAATAACAATAATAATAATAATGAGTAGATCAAAGAGAATTCCACTCCTTTGAGGAGGGCCTGGTGGAAGGAGGTTGGGGCAACGGCAAGTGCAGTGCAGTTGAGTAGTAGCTTTTGCTCCTGTGCGAAGTCCACTAACACTGTGGTACTTGGCCATTCAAAATCCATGGGTCTGGCTAGCCTGGCCCATGTACAACTGTACCAACAGGCGTGAGCCACTTCCGGCCCATCTCTTCTTTATTGTGGATCATACAAAGGTTTAGTGAGAGCACTGCAAATTCCTCTTCCATCTCCACACTTGCAATTTTAGGGAAAATATCACTTGCCACTGCTAATACTGAGCACTGTGGTGAATTCTACGTGCTGAAACGGCTTTGTGGTCCAAAGTCTATGAAGTACTTCAGAGACATAAACTTTGGTGCAGAGTTTGAAAAGTAATCTCTTTAATGTTGGGCAAATAAATGCCTTCATTCTCTGCTGAAGGGAGAGTTAGGGGTCTACCTTTCTGGAAGTACTATGTAGGGCTGAAAAATTATGGTAACAACCTAAATGGTCAAATATGGAGTCATGAGCAAGAGAAGGATGGTAGGTTTATACAATGGAATATGCCACAGCTACTAAAAATTATGTTCATGAATAATTTATAATAACATAGGAAGGCTTTGTCTCCCACGTTAAATGAAGAAATCAGGACACAAAATTGTTTATTCTACACAATCCCCATAATGTAAAATATAAAATGATATGGAAACAAAAGGAAATACTCTCTGTCTTAAATTGCCAAGCTGATGAGATGAGGAATTACTCCTATCCATTTAGTTTTCCTTAGGGTAGACACAGACCTGTGACACGGGAGACCTGAATTAGAACATGAGTATCTTTAAGCCTAGGTTTCCAGCTAGGAATTCAGCCAGGACCATGGAACAGAATTCAAGGATGTTGTAAACTTGGATTATAAAAAAATTTACATCTTGTTGGGTGTGGTGGTGCATATCTGTGAGCTCAGCACTTAGGAGGCTGAGGCAGGAGGATCGCCTTGAGCTCATGGTCAGCCTGGACTGAACAGCAAGACCCTATCTCCAAACTAATTTACATTTTTATTTTATTATCCTCTAAATAAATTTTTCCGAATCCTTTATTGTGGTAAAATATGCATAAAATAAAATTCAATATTTTCATTATTTTAAGTGTACATTTAATATTAAATTTTGGTCTGGTAATGGTTGCACAACAGTGTGCCTATTCAACACCACCAAAATGAGAGGTACCACGAACTGAACTACATTACCAGTACCTGTGACTTTGACACTCATAGAAATCAAAGTATTTTTCCTATAACATTACAGTCATGACTAGGTATGCTGAAACATCCTTCATGCTTCCCTCAGCTTTGAAGGTAGGCTGCAATTAGAACTACTGCCAAATCTTGTTATTTAATACAAAGTTACCAGATTACAAAATTGTTTTAAAAAAACCTTTAGCCATATTGTAGTGTAAGAGTTGTCCTTGGCAATCCTGTATGTTTTATGTATTTCAAAGCACTATTTTTCAAAGGAAATGCTAAGTTTCAAGATTGCCATAGGGGTTCCCAGGGCAAACAATAAAAAGAAAGAAAGAACCCGCAGCAGATGTGTTCCTGACAGATGGGCTAATTAGTGTTAGTTACCAACAACACGCAAGAATGGTTCACTGACAAATGTCTGTGAGGTCTCAGAACGCCTTCCAATTGTTCTGCTCACGACGGAGCCTAGGAGAATATGACACCACCTCCTCCATCTGCCCGGTGCAGTTACCCATTGTTCCTATCCCTTAGCAAACACTGTTTGGTGGACCTCAAGGGATATTTGTGAGTAATCGGGAAGTAAATGTTGGAAAGAGACATGGCAAAGGCACAGGCAGGGAAGCCTGATGGGGCTAAAGAAGAGCTGTGCTGGTGGTTCACCCCTATCTCCACGGCCAATCAACATCATACTCAGGGAAAGAAGCCAGGCACAGAAAGACCAAACCTGCATGATCTTGCTCCTATGTGGAATGTGAACAAGTAGGCACAAAAAGAATGGAGAGATAGTGGCTGGGCTGGGGAGATAGAGGTCGTTAAAGGGCACAAAATTTCAGTCAGGCAGGGGAGAAATACGACTGAGAGATCTGTTGTACAACGTAGTGACTTTAGTCAATGACAATGTACTGTATGGTTCAAAATTGCTAAGAGCATAGATTTTAAGTGTTCTTGCAATTGTAAAAGTTTCTTATGAGGTAATATACATGTTCGTTAATTTGCTTTAGTCACTCTACAATATCTACATAAACCAAAATACCATGTTGTACACCATAAACCCATACACTTTTTGTCAATTCAAAAAAATCATTTTTAAAAACATCAAATCTATCAAGGTAGGGAAACACGGAGGAAAACTAGGGTTTTTTTAAAAATGCTATAAGCACCTCTCAAATATACTTTGCATTAAAAACTGGAGAAAGTCACTTGTATGTGCTGAGTGATATGAAGTTTAGGTCTAGCAACAAAATAGTAAAAACACCTGAGTAGGGTTTAAGAGAATTGGCAAGATCCCTACTTTGCAAATAGCATCCATTTCCTTAAGGTATTTTTTTTTCCTCTTACTAAAAAATTGGGGATCTGATATGGCACTGGGGACTATATTGGCCATGGCCACTATTTGATACTTTTCTGTGCATATGAGAAATTTTCCCCATGAATTACAAGTTCTATTCAAATGAAAAGATTCTCTACTGTTGATAAACATCTACCTAACCCACAGTTGCATCCTCTGAGTTACCACCGATGCCTGCCCCTCACACGGCATCTAGAGAGATGCTCTCAGCAATCTCTCTGTGAATCCAAATCCCTGACGTGTGACTGGCCAGGAATAGAGACCCGACTCCTGGCAAGTTGTTATGGTTTCTATCTAGATACCCCAAGAGCCTCATGTGCTCATAGGCCAGGCTTCTGGAAGGTGACTGAACCATGTGGGCTTATAGCAGACAAGCTGTTGGGAAATGGGATCTGGTCAGAAGAGCCGGGTCACTGGGGACACGGCCTAGAAGGGTGTATCTCCCTCCCTGGCTCCTCTTTCACAGTTGACTTCCTGGTCACCACGACTAGAACAGCTTTCCGCCGCCATGTGCCACTGCCCTGCTATTTCCTGCCTTAGAGCCAGCCAACCAAGGACTGAAAAACATGAGCCAAAATAAACCTCTCCTTTAAATTGTGGGATGTCAGGTATTTTGTGCCAGTGATGAGAAAGTAACTAAGACACAAGCCAGTTAGATTCTCTCTCTTAGGAATTTGTAACTAAGACATAGTGTTACTCCCTGGTGATCTGAACACTGGAGGTATAAACTGAGGGATTGTGGGTACAGATGTTATGTTCTGTATGCCAGGGTTGATAGCAAGTCGGCCCAGGGCAGGGCATGGGTGTGCAGAGAGAAGCAAAGAAAATTTCAGGAGCTCAGTTCCACCTGCTGCCCAGGGTCTGAATCCACATTCTAGAAATCTCCTTTGGGCTGGGACTGGTCTGCATGGGACCCCAATCAAGGAGTTTAGAGTCTGCACCTATGGCACCCCCAGAGGGCAACTCAGGACCATCCTCTTCTCAAATCATCCTCAACACCCCACCAGTCCTCCCTGAAAGCAAGGAGTGAGTGGCTGCCCAACCAGCATACCTCAGGCCTGCCGATGCTTCTGCGGACCCGTGCTCCAACCCCTTCGGACTGCTCCCGGCTGAGCACTGAGAGAGTAACCTTCTTCAAGGAGCCCATGTCAAGGTCTGCAAAGAGAATGTTCTGAGGTTGAGTTGTAGAGGATGGAGAGCAAGTGTTGAAATAATAAAACAGAAGTCATAGGGAGGAGCTACCCAAGGACTACAAACTAAAGGACATTAGAATTAGACTTGCTGAGCATAGTAACGGCTATAATTACTTGGGTGTGTTATGTGTATAGGCCCTGGATTAAGTGCTTAAAACAACAACGATGACAGTGAACATGTATAATACTTCCTAGGGCCTGGTACCCCACTGATTAAGTACAATCACCTCATATAATCCTACAGGCATCATGTGCAAGGGCTAGCAGTAACAGGTCTCTTGAGCACTTATAGGCCCCTCTAATGAGAGGTTCATCTGCTTTACCTCACTGGACCCTCAGATGTCCCCACACAACCCCAATGCCACCCCGTAAGGCAGGGTAACAGACTGGGGGGAGGGAACACAGAGAAAAACCACAAAGTCTGTGACGCTCCCCGGAACACGCCGAAGATCTTAGTACCAAAAAGGATCTTCAAGGGTCATCGAATTCCAAGACTCATCTATGCCACAAGCTCAGGGCCAACACTGTAGGCAAGAAAACTTGGAGTTTTCTCACGGAGTCACAGAGGTGCTGCCCTTGGCAGTGCACTCAAGACCTGCCCATACTCAGAGTTTCTTACAGGTTTTTCCTCTATGAGGGGGTCTAAGTTATCCTCAGTGGACCATCACAGAACAGATATAATCGACTGCTTTTTTGTACAAGTGAAGTATAACCACTGCCTTCCAACTCCCACTGAAACCAGAAGGGCTATGGCAAGAGGTAGATTCTGGAGCCAAACATCCTGGGATTGCATCCCAGCTTCAGCACATAGCAACCAATCCTTTGACCTGGGACTTTATGCCTCAGTTTCCCCGTGTGTAACTGGGGGTACGGAGTGCCTAGCTCAAAGGCGTGCAATCAGTGGTATGAGAATATTAGCTGCTGTTACTCAGAGGGGATCCACCTACCAATACCCTGCAGTCAGCCAAGGCCTACCCTAAAATGTACTGCCCCGAATGGATAATCAATTAAGATATATTGTGTAATGCAGAGTGGGGTGGAGAAGTGAGTGCCATACTTACAGTAGTACAGGCCTGTCACCATCCACACACAAGCAACTACGAAGCATTTTTACCTCCCAGCTGGACTACTCTGGGTCCTACCAGACTCCCACAATTAAATTCTAAGCATCTGAACAACTGATCCGGTATTTATCAGACTTCAGCGCGCTGCGGAAATAAAAGCAGCCTACCACTTTCACCAAACCTCAGTACCCTTTAAGCATCTCTTGCCTGTGTCTCCTGTGTCTCCTGTACGATTCTACAGCTGGCTGGGGTAAGGCAGGACCTTGCAAGCAGACCGCCAGCATCCCCCACCCAGCCCACCCCGACGGGGACCCGGGGCACTCACGCGGC